ATGGGCTGCCGGCCACGTGCACACTGCGTCATGGCAGAGCTTCCCACGAGTCACTTGTCAGAGAAAATTTAAAATGGTGGCTCCTAATGTCAAAGCTCAATGAGAACAGTTAGTCTGGAGCAGGACGTGTAGACGGGTGAGAAACGACAGGAAACTCCTGAATAACCAAAACTAAATCTGTTCAGTTCCTTGACATGTAACCAAGCAACACAGCAAATTATAGGCATAAGGCTGGTAAAGTTTTATATTTTACTTCCTTTGGCAAAGTGCAAATCGAAAAGACCAGGAACACCGAGCTGCTTCATCTGTCCAGGCTCCGACTCCTTGACTCTGTGGCTCCACAGCTTCCTACTGAGAATGCAAACCTTTACAGGTAAATCAGCGTTGCACACGGACAGTGCATACATACTAGAACTTTGTTGTACACCCATGGTTGTAGTGTTAGTTCATCTTCGGAGAAGGAATTCATTTGTCTGTATTATTGACTTAATAATGAGCTTTGAAAGTCAAGTGTGGAGCCGTCACCAACAGACTGATGTTAGCGTAGTGGAGCAGCGAACGTATTAACAAGCAGCTCAGCAACAAACACTGCAGCACTGGCAGGACAAAGAAGACACCTGGTTTCTCTGGTGCTGACCCAACGTCACTAACAACATGCCCGAGCGCTCGGCTTGGTTCCGCTGTCTCCCCTTTACAAAACACGCCAGATACCAAAAGACCAGTGGTGGAAAAATACTCAGATTGTTTGTTCAAGTAACACTAGCAGTCCTGCATTCAATATCCATCCATCCATCCATCCATTTTCTAACGTTTATCTGGGACCGGGTCCCAGGGGCAGCAGTCTAAGCAGAGATGCCCAGACTTCCCTCTCTCCAGACACTTCCTCCAGCTCCTCCGGGGGAATGCCAAGGCGTTGACCATAGGTGAGAGTCGGAACGTAGATTGACCAGTAAATCGAGAGCTTCGCCTTACAGCTCAGCTCCTTCTTCACCACGACGGACCGGTACATCGACCGCATTACTGCAGAAGCTGCACCGATCCACCTGTCAATCTCCCGTTCCATCCTTCCCTCACTC